ATGGTCACTGAGGGCGTGTGGGTGTACCTGTGTATATTACTGGTGGGTGGCGGAGAGGTGAGAGGTGGAGAGATGGTGATGGTGATGATTGCTTGGGTAGGTTTATGGTGATGGTGAAGAAGATGGGTGTATGATGGTGAAGAAGAGGGGTGGGTGTATGGTGGTGATGGTGAAGAGGAGGGGTGTATGGTGGTGATGGTGAGGAGGGTGGTAGGGATGTATGGTGGGTGGTGGTGATAGTGGGAGGAGAGGAGTGTGTGGTGGGTGATGGTGAAGAGGAGGGGGAGTGGGTGTATGGTGATAGTGAAGAGGAGGGGGAGTGGGTGTACGGTGATAGTGAAGAACGCGTAGAAGAGAGTGTATTGGGGAGACGAAATGGGAGTAAGTATTTCAGTATTAAGGTCAAGTGTATCACCAACACAGTCACCAACACAAAGACGCCATTAACCAAAGACGCCATTAACCAAAGACGCCATTAACCAAAGACATAGAGATGTGTTTCTTTATCCTCAAGTAATAAAAAAAATCAGAAAAATCTTATAAGTTATCCTTACAAACTCTATTACACACACGCTCACACACACTCTTTCTCACACACACACACACACACACACACACACACACACACACCCCACCTCGCACAGTCCGCCACTACAACAAAATTCAGCCCATAAGAGCCCGCACTGATAGATATAAGAACAGCACCATCCCATCTATTGTTAAAATAATAAACAACGCCTGATTTATGTACTGTACAGCCTTGTAAATGTATTCAACGCATATTATATCATTATGTCTAAATCAAATGTAAGTCTGTATATTTTCAGCCACCGGCTGCAACTCTATTAATAAACCGTTTATTATTATTATTATTATTATTATTATTATTATTATTATTATTATTATTATTAACACACACACACACACTCTTCTCACACACTCTCACTTAACCTAATCTCTCTCTCTCGGGGCAATAACTCAAACAAAGAGACTCACTGTTTAAGACCACTCCAATGATGAACTATGTTATAGGGTATAAGACTCTCCGATCTCTAAAGCTGTGTTTGTTGACGGTACTGCTGGGGTGAACCTCTTTGTGGCCATTAAGGTACTGTACCATATAGGAAAGTATTATTGTACCGTATAGGAGGGTACTACTGTACAGTTTACAGTACTGTGTTGGGATGGTGGTAATGATGATGGCAAAGATGATGGAGGGAGTGTAGGTGAGAGGGGGAGGGGTGTATAGTAGTGAGAGGGTGGAGTGTATAGTGTAAGGAGAGGGGTGAGGTATAGGGTGTGAGAGGGTGAGGGGTGTATAGTGTAGGTGGGAGAGGGGTGTATAGGTAGGCAGGGGTGGAGGGGTGTACAGGGGGGTGGGAGGGGTGGAGGGGTGTAGGGGTGAGAGGGGTGGGAGGGGGTATACTGTAGGTGAGAGGGAGGAGGTATAGTGTAGGTGAGAGGTGGAGGGGTGTATAGTGTAGGTGAGGGGTGGAGGGGTGTATAGTGTAGGTGAGAGGGTGAGGGGTATACTGTAGGTGAGAGGGTAGAGGAGGTGTATAGTGGGTAGGTGAGGGGTGTATAGTGGTGAGGGGTGGAGGGGTGTATAGGGTGAGAGGGTGGAGGTGATACTGTGGTGAGAGGGAGAGGAGAGTGTATGAGAGGTGGAGGTATAGTGGTGGTGAGAGGGGTGGAGGGGTGTATAGTGTAGGTGAGAGGGGTGTATAGTGTAGGCGAGAGGGTGGAGGGGTACAGTGGGTGGAGGGTGTATAGGGTGGTGAGAGGTGGAGGGGTGGTGTAGGTGAGAGGGTGGGGGGTGTATACTGTAGGTGAGAGGGGTAGAGGAGGTGTATAGTGTAGGTGAGAGGGGTGGAGGGGGTGTATAGTGTAGGTGGGAGGGGTGTAGTGTAGGTGAGAGGGGAGGGGTGATACTGTAGGTGAGGGGTAGAGGAGGTGTATAGTGTAGGTGAGAGGGGTGGAGGGGGTATAGTGTAGGTGAGAGGGGTGGAGGGGTGTATAGTGTAGATGAGGTGGAGGGGTGTATAGTGTAGGTGAGAGGGGAGGGGTATAGTGTAGATGAGAGGGGTGGAGGTGTATAGTGTGGTGAGAGGGGTGGAGGAGGTATACTGTAGGTAGAGGGTAGAGGAGTATAGTGGAGGTGAGAGGGTGGAGGGGTGTATAGGGGAGGGAGGGTGGAGGGGGTGTAGTGTAGGGGAGAGGGGTGGAGGTGATAGTGTAGGTGAGAGGGTGGAGGGGAAGGGAGTGAGGGGAGGTTAGTGTAGGGGGGGGAGGGTGTATAGAGGAAGGGGAGTAGTGTAGGTGAGAGGGGTGAGGGGTGATAGTGTAGGTGAGAGGGAGAGGTGTAGGTGGAGGGAGTATAGTGTAGGTGAGAGGGGTGTATAGTGTAGTAAGAGGGTGTATATATTGTAGGAGAGAGGGTGATAGTGTAGATGAGAGGGTGGAGGGTGTAAGGGGGAGAGGGAGTATAGTGTAGGTGGAGGGGTGTATAGTGTAGGTGAGAGGTGTATATATTGTAGAAGAGGGGTGTAGTGTAGGCGAGAGGGGTGGAGGGGGTATAGTGGTGGTTGGAGGTGTATAGTGTAGGTGAGAGGGTGGAGGGGTGTATACTGTAGGTGAGAGGGGTGTATAGTGAGGGTGGAGGGGTGTATCGTGGAGTGTGTAGTGTAGGTGAGAGGTGGAGGTGTATAGTGTAGGTGAGAGGGGTGTATAATGTTGGTGAGAGGGGTGTATAGTGAGGTGAGGCTGGAGGGGTATATAGTGGAGGTGAGAGGTGTATAGTGGAGGTGAGGTGTATAGTGGAGGTGAGAGGGGTGTATAGTGTAGGTGAGAGGGGTGCCTAGTATGAGTGGGTAGATTAAGTGAGTTTATGGGGTGGGTGGGGTATGGGTATTGATAGTGTGTGGGTCTGGTGTGGGCGTAAGGCGTGTGTGTGTGGGGGAGGGCGTGGGTGGTGTGCATATGGGCGTGGTAGACATATACAGCCAGTAAGGACGTGACGTATGGGCAGCTTCACGCCCATTACTCCTCTCCATCTCCCCCCTTCAGCCCCCACACAACCACGTCACACCACGCCCCTCCCCCACACAACGTCACATTCCACCCACGTCCACCCTTCACTCACAAGCCTTCCAGATGTGTGGTTGTGTCGCCCAGAATACACACACACACACACACACACACACACACACACGAACACACACACACACACACACACACACACACATATATAGAGCTGTATCTTTTTTACCGTAATGTGGATTTAGCTGCTGCCTGGTGTGGCCCTCTTGGCACTGGACTTGGTCTCTCTCTCTCTCTCTCTCTCTCTCTCTCTCTCTCCTCTTCTCTTTTTCTTTCTTTCTTTTTTTTTTTCTAGTTCTCGTTTATTCTCTCTCTTTAGCTCTGATTCCTTCTCCCTTTTAGAATGTGTGTGTGTGTGTGTGTGTGTGTGTGTGTGTTTTTTTCACACCTACTTGAGCTTTTTTATTACTTTATTCCACCCCACATACATACATAGATACATACATACATACATACATACATACATACATACATACATACATACATACATACATAGCATATGCTCAGAGGACGAAATAATACTTAACCACACACACACACACACACACACCGTCCCCCACCCTGGTTTCCCACTGAGTCACCATGGTTGGGTGTAAGTTAGGTCAGCTGAACCAATCATGTCTTCCTCTTGATGGTGATTAGAGATGATGCTCGTTAGTCTCACAGATGGCGCTCGTCACTTTCACAGCTGGTACACATCTCTCACAGGTGGTACACATCACTGACAGATGGTACTTGTATATCCAATAGACGGTATACAGGTGGTGTCAGCTGAGGTATTACAGGGTTAATACTCACACAGGTTTACCCGCCCCGCCCCTTCTCCTGCCCCGCCCTCCCCGCCCCGCCCGCCCGCCCCGCCCGCCCCCCAACCCTCTACCCCTCCTACAAAAAATAAAGAAGTCATCCAACCTTAAAATGCGCCTCCAAGAAAAAAACTAATAAAAAATAAAATATTAAATAAATCATGTAAATAAATAAATAAAATGCAAATAAATCAATAAAAGTAAACTCGAATTGTCTCCAAAGATATACATACAAAAATCACCTCCTCCAAAAGCCACTTCAATAGCTCTCCTCCAAAAGCCACTTCAATAGCTCTCCTCCAAAAGCCACTTCAATAGCCTCCTCCAAAAGCCACTTCAATAGCTCTCCTCCAAGCCACTTCAAAAGCTCTCCTCCAAAGCCACTTCAAAAGCTCTCCTCAAAAGCCACTTCAATAGCTCTCCTCCAAGCCACTTCTAGCTCTCTCAAAAGCCACTTCAAAGCTCTCCAAATAGCTTCAAAAGCTCTCACCAAAGCCACTTCAATAGCTCTCTCCCAAAAGCCACTTCAAAAGCTCTCCTCAAAAGCCACTTCAGATCTCTCCTCAAAAGCCACTTCAATAGCTCTCCTCCAAAAGCCACTTCAATAGCTCTCCTCCAAGCCGCTTCAACCCTCCTCCAAAAGCCACTTCAATAGCTCTCCTCAAAAGCTTTCAAAAGCTCTCCTCCAAAAGCCATAAAGCTCTCAAAAGCCTCTCACCAAAGCCACCTTCAGTAGCCAATAATGATAATTTTCCGGCAAAATTTACGATAAAAAAAAAGTTAGTTAATTGCGAAAGTGACGATCGCCGGCGCCAGGTGTTGCGTCTACAGTATTTTAAGTAACTGGGTACATCTTCGGAAACCAGTTGGGAGACAGGTGGTGAGAGTGTGATAAATATACATGGCAGCTGGCTACTGTGTTATGGCAGCTGGCTACTGTGTTATGGCAGCTGGCTACTGTGTTATGGCAGCTGGCTACTGTGTTATGGCAGCTGGCTACTGTGTTATGGCAGGAATTTGTTGTCTCACCTATACGGCAAAGACTATAGAATCTCTCACCTACACCAGAGACACTGTAGAATCTCTCGCTTACAGCCAGAGACACTTTAGAATCTCTCACCTACGCCAGAGACACAGAATCTCTCTACACCAGAGACACTGTAGAATCTACCTACGCCAAGACACTGAGAATCTCTCACCTACACCAGGAACACTGTAGAATCTGCTTACAGCCAGAGACACTTTAGAATCTCTCACCTACGCCAGAGACACTGTAGAATCTCTCACCTACACCAGAGACACTGTGAAATCTCTCACCTACGCCAGAACACTGTAGAATCTCTCACCTACACCAGAGACACTGTAGAATCTCTCACCACCTACACCCAGAGACACTGTAGAATCTCTCACCACACCAGGACACTGTAGAATCTCTCACCTCGCCAGAGACACTGTGGAATCTCACCACACCAGAGACACTGTAGAATCTCTCTCTCACCACGCCAGAACCTGTAGAATCTCTCACCTCACCAGGACACTGTAGAATCTCCTGCACAGCCAGAGACACTGTAGAACTCTCTCACCTACACCAGAAACACTGTAGATCTCTCACCTACCCAGAGACACTGTAGAATCTCTCACCCTACACCAGAGACACTGTAGAATCTCTCACCACCAGAAACACTGTAGAATCTCTCACCTACACCAGAGACACTGTAGAATCTCTCCCACCTCACAGAGACACTGTAGAATCTCTCACCTACACCAGACACACTGTAGAATCTCTCACCTACACCAGGAACCTGTAGAATCTCTCACCTACACCAGAGACACTGTAGAATCTCTCACCTACACCAGAAACACTGTAGAATCTCTCACCTACACCAGAGACACTGTAGAATCTCTCACCTACACCCAGAGACACTGTAGAATCTCTCACCTACACCAGACACACTGTAGAATCTCTCCTACCAGAGACACCATAGAATCTCTCACCACACCAGAGACACTGTGAATCTCTCACCTACACCAGAAACACTGTAGAATCTCACCTACACCAGAGACACTGTAGAATCTCTCACCTACACCAGAGACACTGTAGAATCTCTCACCTACACCAGAGACACTGTAGAATCTCTCACCTACACCAGAGACACTGTGAGACTCTCTCACCTACACCAGAGACACTGTAGAATCTCTCACCTACACCAGAGACACTGTGAATCTCTCACCCTACACCAGAGACACTGTAGAATCTCTCTCACACACAGAGAGACACTGTAGAATCTCTCACACACCAGAGACACTGTAGAATCTCTCTACACACAGCCAGAGACACTGTAGAATCTCTCACCTACACCAGAGACACTGTAGAATCTCTCACCTACACCAGAACACTGTAGAAATCTCTCACCTACACCCAGAGACACTGTAGAATCTCACCTACACCAGAGACACTGTAGTCTCTCACCTACACCCAGAACACACTGTAGAATCTCTCGCTTGTGCAGGACCTGTAGAATCTCTCACCCACACCAGAGACACTGTAGAATCTCTCGCTTACAGCCAGAGACACTGTAGAATCTCCCACCTACACCAGAGACACTGTAGAATCTCTCACCTACACAGAGACACTGTGAGATCTCTCACTACACCAGAGAGACACTGCTAGAATCTCTCGCTTACAGCCAGAGACACTGTAGAATCTCTCACCTACACCAGAGACACTGTAGAATCTCTCACCTACACCAGAGACACTGTAGAATCTCTCACCTACACCAGAGACACTGTAGAATCTCTCACCTACACCAGAGACACTGTAGAATCTCTCACCTACGCCAGAGACACTGTAGAATCTCTCACACACAGAGACCTGTAGAATCTCACCTACACAAGAGACACTGTGAGATCTCTCCACCTACACCAGAGACACTGTAATCTCTCACCCTACGCCCAGAGACACTGTAGAATCTCTCGCCTCACACAGAGACACTGTAGAATCTCTCACCTACACAGAGACACTGCTAGAATCTCTCTCGCCTACACCAGAGACACTGTAGAATCTCTCTCGCCTACACAGAGACACTACGATTGACGGGTAAAGAGGTGGGCGTATGGTGACAGGCAAAGTGACGGGCTGAGTGACAGAGGATTAACCTTAGTTGATATTTATATTAAAGCGAAGAGTTACATTGATTCCCTTTCCTGAAACACACACCTGGGTGGGTAGGATAAGTGAGTGGGAAAGAGGGATGTTGTAGGATGGGTGAGGTAGAGGGAGGAGGGAGGAATAGCGGCTGAATGGAGGAGAGTCAGCTGTTGTATGTCACACTGTAAGTCTGTCTGTCCGTCCGTCCGTAACAAATAATTCTTCTTTACGTGTGTGTGTGTGTGTGTGTGTGTGTGTGTGTGTGTGGTTTAATACAGTGTGGTGTATGAAAGTATGGTGTGTGGTATGGTGGGGCCTCCTCATCATCACCACAATAAGTTAGCAAGACTGAGATGTTGCAGTCAGTCAGTCTAGTCCTTCAGTCACATACTTCTCGTTGGTCTAGCAGTTTCCTCCCATCCCTGGCACTTCCTACCACCCCCTGGCACCTTCATACACCACTGGCACCTCCCTACACCCCTGGCACCTCCCTACCTGGCACCTCCCTACACCTGGCACCCCGTACCACCCGACTGGCACCCCCTACACCACCTGGGACCCCCTACACCACCTGGCATCCCCCTACACCACCTGGCACCCCTACACCACCTGGCACCCCCTAACCACCTGGCCTCCTACACCACCTGGCACCCCACACCACCTGGCACCTCCCTACACCTGGCACCCCTGACACCCCTACCCTGACACCTCCTGGCACCTCCCTGGCACCTCCTGGCACACCCTGTAGCCTGTACTCAGCTGTGAATATATATTGTTAGTTTATTATGGTCGTGTTTCTTGGTGTTCACTACGCAGCTGTCGTGATGGACGTTGTTGGTGGTATTCTGGTCAGTAATTTATAAACAACAGGTGTACAAGTACAGGTGTGCATGTGCAGAATATAACAATTCCAAAATACACACACACACACACACACACACACACACACACACACACACACACACACACACACCGTAATCCAATAATAATAACATAGGTAAACGCACAGGTACACATTATAACATTGAATTTTCTGTTGATGGGGAGAAATTTTTGGTTTAGTGATACGGATTAACTCTGTATTTTATATCGTGTTTACATATTATTGTAGGTGAATCGTTAGTGTGGTGTGTGTGTGTGTGTGTGAAAGGTCTGGTTAAGTCAAACGTCAATATTAATTTTCAGGCATTCAATTCTTGCATCGATACATCCAACTCTTCACAAAAATACTCTCCAGATATGTTTCGTCAGCAGTTAGAGCAACAAATACTCGTCAGTGTAAGAGGTCAAGGTCAATCTGAAGGTCAAAGGTCACTTTTGACAGCGCCAGGGTCTGAAACCTCTTCTCGTGGTTCACTTGTTTATCCTGAGAGTAAATAGAACCAATAAAGATTAGTTGAATGTGTTTTGTTTTGCGGTTGTGGTGTGGTTAGTTGGTGGTACGTGGTGGTGAGCTACGATCACAATAAGGTATAGAGACAAGGGTAGTAGTGGTCGTGCAAATCCCCTCTCCCTCCTCCCTCTGTCTGGGTGGAGAAAGCCGGACAGAGTGAAACCAGGTGCCGATAGTCTGCCTCTGGACCACACCCTCATGTTCTGCTATCCACGCCCCCCTTCCTGCCCAGCCTCTATACCTGCTACATGAACCACCTCCCAGGGCAGTGCAAATACGCTGGCTTAATATTGTACAACTTCCTCTGCCTATAAACCCCATTCATTCTGCTGTATGATGTAGGTTGGTCTCGTGTATGTTGGGATAAATACTCACCCTCACCTGTTGTAGCTGCACCTGCCGGATAGAGTGTAGGCAGGGCTCAGGGTGTGTCGTGGTGTAAAACGGACATTCCTCCTGCTTGTTGATAGAGGCGGCGGACGGGACAGTGTTGAGTGTTGTAACACCTGAAACCACACCTCAACCCAATGCATGTCTAG